AGTATCGGGTAGAAAAACGAAAGACTATATTTCTAACCCGTAGGATAGGGTGAACACCCCTAAGGATGGGGATGGGAATGAGGGGGGGGGGGGGGGGAGGCAAAGATAGGGCCAAGAACTTATGTTTACATGGGTTAAAGTTTATACATACAAACTAAGACCAATAATATAGACTATATTTATATTTTATTGATTGAAATTTTCAATCCACAAAGCTATTTTTTTTATGAAAAAAATTTCAAAGCTATAATAAATATTAAGTTTTAATACTGTTATTTATTTTAATTTGAGTACTTAATTTGGGAATGTATCACACTGCAACCATTTACTACATTCAATATTGAACCATATTTGCTAATCTAATGGTCATAATATATTAGATTCTAATATTCTCTAACCTAAATCTCAATGGCATAGCTAATAAGGTATTTACACTCTAAAAAGTCAAGGGTTCTTTATGAAAAATTGAATGAAATTAAGAAAGTTCAAAGTAATTTATAAAGTATTAGTATAAAAAGGTAATATTTTAGTAAGGAGTATTGAAGTGGGTCGATGCCCTAATAAATTTGGAGAGAGTAGTGTATATGTTGTTGGTTTTTTTTTAATGGAGTCTAGTTTGTATATGTGATTCGGATGATGATCCGACCCGAAATAATGTTGTGTGGTTTTTAATAGAAAATTTTCTGAGGCTTAGTCCATGGAGCGAAGGCTTGGGCCGATCCCGTTATACAGTCCAGTACGTAGGACATATAAACCCTATTGTTTTGGTGATTAGGGTTTGTTGTGGATTGTACAGCCGCTCTCTGTAATTCNTATATATTGTAGTCTTTTAACATAGAAAAACATTGGAGAGAAATATACAGCTTTCTAAATTCCTATTTTGTCATTAATTTTTTTATATTTTTTTTAGTAAGTATAAGAGTGTTTGTGTGATATAATTTATATTATAACATTGTTATTCTTGTGGATGTTTGAGTTGCGAAAACATGGACTTGTTTTTTTGTGTAAGTTACATGATTTGTGGTGAATTAGTTATTTATTGGAACATNTGATATAATTTATATTATAACATTGTTATTCTTGTGGATGTTTGAGTTGCGAAAACATGGACTTGTTTTTTTGTGTAAGTTACATGATTTGTGGTGAATTAGTTATTTATTGGAACATATTTTAATGTGTTTCATACAGTTTAAATTTAAAATAATTGTTATTGTATTTATATAACAATTATGATGGATTGATGTTCCTGTTTTTTTATGTTTTTTTATAATTGTTGTTGTAGTTATTTTATGTTTTAGTGTTATTGATTTACTGTGTTGTTAAATTGGTACATGTTATTTAATTGAATTGTTAAAATGATCTAAAAATTAATAGTTACACAAGGGTTTACCCNACTGATTTACTGTGTTGTTAAATTGGTACATGTTGTTTAATTGAATTGTTAAAATGATCTAAAAATTAATAGTTACACAAGGGTTTACCCGACTTCCTACCCGATGGGTAGAAATACTACACCTGATTGGGTAGGGTAAGTCAAGAAAAATTTTTTTTGTAAAGTATCGGGTAGGAAAACGAAAGACTATATTTCTTACCCGTAGGATAGGATGAACACCCCTAAGGATGGGGATGGGAATGAGGGGGGGAGGGGGGGGAGGCAAAGATAGGGCCAAGAACTTATGTTTACATGGGTTAAAGTTTATACATACAAACTAAGACCAATAATATAGACTATATTTATATTTTATTGATTGAAATTTTCAATCCACAAAGCTATTTTTTTTTATGAAAAAAATTTCAAAACTATAATAAATATTAAGTTTTAATACTGTTATTTATTTTAATTTGAGTACTTAATTTGGGAATGTATCACACTGCAACCATTTACTACATTCAATATTGAACCATATTTGCTAATCTAATGGTCATAATATATTAGATNATGTATCACACTGCAACCATTTACTACATTCAATATTGAACCATATTTGCTAATCTAATGGTCATAATATATTAGATCCTAATGTTCTCTAACCTAAATCTCAATGGCATAGCTAATAAGGTATTTACACTCTAAAAGTCAAGGGTTCTTTATGAAAAATTGAATGAAATTAAGAAAGTTCAAAATAATTTATAAAGTATTAGTATAAAAAAGTAATATTTTAGTAAGGAGTATTGAAGTGGGTCGATGCCCTAATAAATTTGGAGAGAGTAGCGTATATGTAAGGAGGACAACTAATGGACAACTATTTTAGTGCATGCTTAAGAAATATGTATAGGGGATTGACAAAGGTGTAGGGTAGCTCTGTCCCTGGTGGGAGGTGNATAATCAAGAAACTTAATCAATTACGGTTATTGGATTGAAAGTGAATGTCATCTAATCTTAAAATTCACGACTAATCTAACGTCTATAATGAATTAGATCCCTCGTTAGAGATCTAATTTTTATTTTTTTTTAATTGAAAAAACAAGTCCAAGGAAAAGAGAACAAAGTGAAGCTATCCTAATGTTTGTTTACAGAGTGCACTGCCTCATCTGTGACACACCACCTAACAGTGCATGGAAGCATTAGATTACACCATCATCCATGAGAATAGGGTTAGGCACAAGTGTGGCCTACATGATGTTCTCTCTGCCTTTCAGATAAGCATAGCATTATAGTAATAATACCATCGAGGCTTAGCCAGTGATGTATCAGCTTGTTGGTTGGCTTCCACTCTTTGGTGTAATGTTGACACACACTTCAAATGCTAGTCTGAGTCATTGCATTAGTGTTTTTCCAATTCCCCATTTTCTTGGATTTTCGGTGGGCAAATCGGCTCTCAACTTTGGCTTTCCACTTTGGTGTATAATGTGGATATCCACTTCAATGCTCATGAGTTGGTTTAATTTACGGACTTGAGTGCCCGGAAGAAAAAATTTTGGTATCATACATTTAATTTTTACTATTTTAGTGAGTGTGGTAAGACAGAACAAAGAAACACAAAGAACACTATGATTCTAAGTGTATAGAACAAAGGTATTCTGAATCCACAGAGAAAGTAACGATAGATTAACTCTGAAAAAGTATGTGTCGTCTCGAGTCCAATCCAACTGACGACACTGAATTCGGAATCTCTTATGATTTATTATTTAGAATTCTTTTCTAAATGAGTAAAAACTAGGTTTTGATGGTTTATATGATGAAATTCAACAAAAAACTGAAGGAGCTCATGACGAAACGATGAGTCTTAATCATTGGCCTGATTTAGATATAGATTTTTATAGGACCCTCTTCTTTCTCACCCATATAAACCTAATTCAACTCAAACGCGACACAACCGAAATGTCATAATTCAAATATAACATACATCCCAAGTAATACAATCCAAATATGACACCAAATAACTCAATTGCTACTCCTATGAGTTTTGAACCAGAAAAAGAAAAAAAAAAAAAAAAAAAAGAAGCATTGTACATTGCATGTGACCGATTCACTAGCACATGGAATAAAATATTTAATAAGCAGTGGTATCGTGCGATCAATGGCATGTAATACTTTGATCCAATATGATATGTATATAGGCTATAAATATACATATCCAAGACATACCAGACACGTTATGGTCACCATATGTGTGCTTATTTAAGGTATCTATGATTGTTGCCTCCTCTTGGTAGTGGTGAAAAATAATGGACCTTTGGGTTTTTCATATAATTTTCATTACATCATTCAATATGCACCATGCAGCAATGTCGGGAGAAGCCCCTTCTATTCATTTGTTTATTTTTTTTTCTTGTTAAAAAAGAGTACAAGAGAGTAATTGAAATTTTTGTCCGGAAGTGATCATAGAAATTCTTATCTTGTCAAATTAGGGTTTGGTGGTGAAAATAATTAAAAGGACTCGCTGATTTAATGATTTGAACTCAGGGGCGGAGTCAGAAAATTATGTCAAGGTGGACACAAATATTTCAACAAATTATTTTTTTTTCTTACAATTGATAGAAATAGGACAATAATTTATTTAATTACGTCCTATTTAGTATATACAAATGATAACATTTGTTTGTACAAAATATTAACTAATTAAAATTATTTAAAATTGACTTGGGTGAATTTTTGTACTTTTAAAATGTTACATAACAACTTTATTATTCTTTATATACATAATTATTTTATCACTTTTGTATTTATAAATCATTTGATCGATTATATAGTTTAATATGCACTTTATAATTTTTATCATAATTAACAAAAATAAATGTCAAAATCAAAAATAAACTAGCGAATATGTATATCATGTCTTTTTTAGTCTTAAAAAATATAAAATAATTCTAATATATTCAAAATTTATCTAGATAAGTACATAATCAGCCCAAAGCCTTGAAGAAAAGGATATTGATTCCTCATCATTCAAACGTGTGCTCTTTGCCCGTTTCTTACGTTCATTAATGTGACTTTCACGCTTGTTTTTGTGGTAAACCAAATCTTTAATTTAAAAGTTGATAAATAATAGTAGCCTAAATTTCACTTTATACTCTAAAAGATGCTTCAAATTTAAATTTTATGCCTTATCATCATATTTGAAACATTTACATCTCATGTGCTTTAATTTGTAACAAAAAATTAAACGAGTCTAGATCAGATCCATATTACTACTTATTTATAATATTAAGTGTGTAAATTAAAATTTTTAATATTTGATAATACAAATTGAGAATTGAAAGTAATATTAGCCCTTACTAAATAACAATAGTGACATGTTATTATGCACAGATAATGTATTTCCTTCCACCAACTAAATTTACACTATTTTNAGAATTGAAAGTAATATTAGCCCTTACTAAATAACAATAGTGACATGTTATTATGCACAGATAATGTATTTCCTTCCACCAACTAAATTTACACTATTTTTTTATCGTTAACAAAAAAATAAAAACAAACTAAATAGACGCGGACTTTTTCTTACAAACATGAAATTTGGTGCTAGGTTAACGATTAAAAAAATAAAACATCGCCCATTTTTTAAGATCAACGAGCAATTATGGCGAGAATTTGTTATATTCATATTGCTTTACATCAATTATATACAACCGATGATCGAAGCTTCTTTCATTTTACCTTATTTATACACAATTACATCGTTTTATCATCAAAAGCTTCGTCGTGGAAAATACTTGATATTTGTCTTTCTAATTCTCCTTAACGAATTGTAGCTTTAAATCTCCTCAACAACTCTTTCCTGCATATCGAAAAAAAGAGAAAACACATTAGAGAACCAGACCCACAATTTTTTTTCTAATTGATTTTTAGGCCCATTTATTTTGAGAAATTATTTTACCTCATAAGTTGTCTGTCAAGAGTTGAGGTAGACAAGACCCCTCTGTTCTCTTCAGCTCTCCTTAGAAGGTAAGGAATTATCTGCTCTACTGGTCCAAATGGCAAGTACTTGCTAACTTGAAAACCGGCATTAACCAAGCCAAATGAAAGTGTGTCTGCCATTCCATATAGCTGAGCAAATTGGAGCTTCTGGTAGTTCTTTCCCATCCCCAAATCTCTAGCTTTAGCTGCCGCCAATTTCCCTATCCAACATCAAACACATTATAAGTTAGATCATCGACAAATCTAAAAAAAAAAAACATTGAAACACGACTGACATGACTTGATTGTCATTCCTAATTAGACCCTTGCCCTTCAATTCTTGACCATTATTACTACAACCCAAGAGTAATAATTCTTTTACCTGATTCAACATTATGGGTTGCTAGAACAAGTGCCCCGGAGCCATTAGCANCATTATTACTACAACCCAAGAGTAATAATTCTTTTACCTGATTCAACATTATGGGTTGCTAGAACAAGTGCCCCGGAGCCATTAGCAACCTTCTCGAGCATGATAGAGGCACAGTCATTGTAGCATGCATGAGTCTGCTGAATGCTATTGTGAACAGGAGACTCAACTCCTAAAGCAGAAGCTAACTGTCTTTCACTAGACATATAAGCTCCTCTCACCAATTTAAAGCCCATAGGAACTCCCATTTTCTCTGCTGCTTTCTCTGCTTGAAACAATCTCTCTTTTGCATCTTTCAAATAAGCTTGTATCGTCCCGAAAATTATTGGATTATCGTCTTTGTTGAACAAAATTGCAGCAGAGTACGTGAAGTAATCGATCGCGGGTTGAATCGATGTGTCCTCTGCATCAATTAGTAAAGGGACATTGTGTTCGACACATTTCTGGCTGATTTTCACTAGTCTTTGGTGGGCTAATTGAAGATTGAGTTCTTCCTGTGGGGTCAGAGGGTCTGGTTTTGAGAGTGTGTGGTAAAAGGGACTTGAATCGGAGAAAATCGGAAGAGTGTTGAGCTTCCATGGAAGATTGTAAGAATGGTCTCTGTACTCCCATCTCAGCTGATCACTTACTCTCTTGAGCAGTCTTGGTGGGCAAATTGCTGTGATCTTCACCACAACAAAGCTTACCTGTTTGCCGAAGTTCATTTCTCAAATTCAATCATGAAACTTCAATCTAAGTATTTACAAGGGATGTTCCTAATTTAATTGATGGTCAGAGTCGAATTGAAAGTTTTATGGCACTTTCATTTGATTGGTCAAGGTCGAATTGAAAGTTTTATATAACGGATTCTCTAGGACCTTGTTTTTAAAAAATACGCCACGTGAGAACTTTACCAGGGCTAACTAGTAAAAGGCCTAGAGCAGGAATTATAAAAGTAAAGTTTGAAGCTTACAGAAGAAGGGGGAAGTGATTTGGTTGATTCAACTGTTTGAATGATTTCTTCCATATTCTGATCACACGATTGGTTATCACCGGCGTGTTCTAGGCCATAATTTAATATCCCTCTCAACCCAGCTTCCCGGAGTTTCACGATGGTCTGACCCACCTCCGGCAAGTCCTTTCCGGCGACAAAATGCTCATAAAACGTGTGTTTTATAGTCCCCAAGATTATCTCACGCAAGACAGCCATGTCCATGAGCTTTGAATTCATTACCCACATACCCACATCAACCATGGGCTCAATAGCCGCCATATGAAGCGTGACCGATGATCTCAGCAGCTTCGCTGTTGAAACCGGAGAAAATAGCTCTTTAACGTCCTCAAGGTTGAGAATTGAGTTGNGCCATATGAAGCGTGACCGATGATCTCAGCAGCTTCGCTGTTGAAACCGGAGAAAATAGCTCTTTAACGTCCTCAAGGTTGAGAATTGAGTTGGCGGTGGCGGTAGCGGTAGCGGTGGTGGATGGTGGGGTGGCGCTGGAATCGGTTTTTTCTGTGAAATTTAGCGGCGAGACGGCGGTGATGGAGGAGGGAGCAGCTGAGTTTAGATATCTGCAGGAGAAATAGCGGAGGTTTTGGAGGAGTCTGGGAGAGAGACAGCGGGTGGTGATGGAAGAGGTGGTGGCCATAGGCGAGAATGATGGTGAATGTTGATTCTGTTCGGTTTACCAAGTCTTACGTTTGTTGTATTGGTTACCATAATTGGTCGGATATACATAGGAGAATTTTTAACATTTTACAGGCTGTAATTACTAAAGTCAGAAAAAGAAATTACAGTCTGTAAATTACGAAGTCAAAAATAAATTAGAAAATTTTAATTAATTACTAAATTATTTTAATTAAAAAATAAAAAATTAATTACTCAGTCAAATTTATTTTTTTTTTTTTTACAGCTTGTAATTACTTTGGATTCACTTTTATTAGAGGCTAGAGATTCTTCCTAAAAATACCTGTATTCGTCAAACTTTTGAAAAGTCAATTAATCTGAGGGTTCTAATTGGGCCAGATCATTATTTTCCTGGGGGTTCCCACATAGCGCCCCGCTCTGGGCGAAAGTGCTTTTGTATGCCACGCATTGCCGTTGTAGGAATCTTTGCCCAGATTCCATTGATGAGGTCATCACTTACGTAGCAATGTGCCGTGCGATTGAATAAGTCTACCACCTAAGATTGTAAAACGTGTCCGATTAAATCCTGGGTTGATTTCGAGTTTATATCGAAATTTTTAAAACACAAAAATGATATGTTTAATAATTATATGGAGATGTGTAAACACTAATTTAATTTGACTATTAAACGAATTATTCGCACCCGACTTATGTGATACATTTAATAAATAGGTCGTTTTTGGGTTANCTAAAAAATGATATGTTTAATAATTATATTGAGACGTGTAAACACTAATTTAATTTGACTATTAAACAAATTATTCGCACCCGACTTATGTGATACATTTAATAAATAGGTCGTTTTTGGGTTAACATATCATAATCTATTTAACTTATCCAGCACACATAATACAGACATGTTTAAGACACATAACTTGTTTTCACACCAGTTCATTACTATTAAATATATCATTAAATTATTCATCCAAAATTTCAAATAATTTTTTTCAAATAACATATCGCCTCTTATCAATAAAATTAACTAAAATGTATTCAAATTTCAACTCAAAAATTAAAACAAAAAATATACTAGTATACTGTTATAATATTATTAACAATTATATTATCAATTTATCATAGTAAAAGTAAAAACTAATAAGTAATAATGTTAAAATTATATCAGTTATATATAATAGGCGAACTATACTGTCATAAACGGGTTAAATTGGTCTACAGTGGATTAGGTTGGGTTCGTGTCTGAATCATGTCAACCTGTTTAAAATATACGGGTTAATCAGGTCAAAATCAAATTAATTTGATTTTGACATGAACCCAACATGATTTTATTCGTGTTTAAACATGTTGATTTGTTTTAACTTATTAACTCGTTTAAATTCATGTCCGACTTATTAATTTTGTATTCGATTTATATCGTGGTAACGTATTGTGTCAAAAATTGACATCCCTACAACCACACATGTCGACTTGAATGAGTTTAGTGACAGTTTTCGTCATATTTCTTTTAATTTATCATATTTTTAAGGGTATTTTTTTTTATTTTTTGAATCACTATTGATACCCATCATTAGATTAAAGGTATTAATTAATATGTAATTTTACTAAATTAGTCCTTATATATTTTTAAAAAAAAATTCATCCACATTCCCTCTAGATATGCATATTTTCAATGGAAGTCCTTCTATTTACTAAATTTGTTTACATATTAAAATTCGGGTTAATTAAAATTCGATTCGAACTAATTAAAATTTATTTTTTATGTATTAAAATTAGAGTCGATTAAAAATTATATTTTTTTACGTACTAAATTTTGATTCGATTAAATTTCATTTTTAATCGGCTCGAATCAAATTTTAATCAACTTGAATGGAATTTTAATTAACATGAATTTTAATAAATAAAAAAATATAAATTTTAATCGACTTGAAACAAATTTTAATCGGCGATAACAGTTTAGATAGAACTCAAATCGCCTCAAATTTTAATATGTAAAAAAATTTTAATAGGCTCAATTTTTTATACATAAAAAATAAAATTTAATTAGTTTGAATCGAATTTTAATCGGTTCAAATTTTAATATATTAAAAAATAAATTTTAATTAACTCAAATTTTAATATGTTAAAAAATAAATTTTAATCAGTTCAAACTTTAATCAAATTTTATGTATAAAAAATATTTAGGTTTATGCAGGGATAATTTAAAAAAAACTATGATTTAAAAACAGAGGGTGTCAGTGATGCTTAAATATAAGTTAAAAAGAGTTTTAGTAATGTTCCAAACAATAGAGAGAATATTCTTAAAAACACGACAAATTACAAGAGGTGTGATTGAAATTTTTTTATTAGTTTTTCTCCGATCTAAGTGGATTCATGTAAAAATTTATTCAAACTCAAATACAATTTATTTATTAAATAAGTTATATGTCACTATTCATTTTGACATATAACTTATTTATTAATATATAACTAATTAATAAAATTAGATTAACATAATAATTCTTTTAACTAATTAATAATATTATTTCTAACTAATTAACAAACTAACATAATTACTTGAAATCTTTTGATTTATGCAAAAAAGTGAGTCAATCCTGTATCCCAGTACAGTCCACAAACTTGAGTGGCAAGCACACTTAAAACGTGGATTGGATCACAGCCACCAAATTAATTAGTTGGGCGGCAACTTCTTGTTACCTTCCTCATGCATATCTTTATTTTTAGTTTTTATTTTTGGTCATTCCTCTTGCATAATATACAAGTTGGAATTTTTTTTTTTTTGGGTAAATAAGTTGGATTTAAATACATTTTGGCACATAATTTCACCACCTAGCATTTATTTGTTGTTGGTAGATCTGAGTACTTGACAGGTGTTAAGTTGTCATTAATAATTGGTATTCATCACCAATTAGCAGATGTCACCTCAAGATAGGTTGTGCAGAGAGAAAAGTTGAAGAAGAGCCTACATTAAGGTGACATCTCTTGATTGGTAATAAGTATCAATTTTCAATGATAATCTGGTATCTGTCAAATACAAAATATGAGGTGACATATGTTGATTGGTGATGAATATCAGATATCAATGACAGCCTAATACGTGTCAAGTACTGAATATTTTCTCCTCCAACCACGATCCGACACAAAATCCAACTTTGATTTAATTCCTTTCTTCTATACACCAAATGGATGAGACAAGTCATGGGAGGATTTTCATTTTTGGGTCATAAATTTACAAAAATTCAAATTGAAGCATCTAAAAAATATACGGCAACACAATGTTTACTTTTTGACGTGTCTAAGTTGTGTCAACTCAAATTCATCTCGTTTATGGTTAATGCAGATATAAATATTTAATGTGTCAAATGAACATATTTGTTTACCATATGAAACTCTTGAGATTAAACCCAACCTACTAATTTTGTGTCGGATTCATGAATGATTTAGATCTCGTGACACTTGTAGAATGAGTTTTAATGGTAAGAAGATGGTCTGTCAAAATGTGGTTCACTTTGTACGTTTGCTGAGCAGATCAATCGGACATTTTTGAAAAAGGAACGGAACTCCTCACGGAGGGAGGTAGTCGGAATGAGGAGGCAAGAAGCTATTTTTTTTATAGTGTATCACTACTTTGAAATAATAAAAAAATAATAATAATAGATGAAGTAATTGAAATGACAAATAATTACAATTGTGGAAATCGAAAAAAGTCGGAAACCGCTGATCATCTTTTGAATCAAAATAGACAGGGGGAGAAGCAAAGCTTCGTAGATAACTTCGCTTTCTGATCTTTCTAGCGACCAACTTCTCAAGTGGATGGCTTGGTAAGCAAGTTACTTTCAGCATCAATAAAATCCCTAACAATAAAAGGCCGGAATGTTGGAGACTGAGTTGAACTCGGGTGGGATAGAGCTTTGAATACTTTGAGACAAAATGACAATGGACGATTTGATCAACAAACCAACGAATTAAAAACTCAATGGGTGCATCAAGAGAAAATGGATACTGAGGTAAGAAGTTACTTTTCAGATTATTAAGGTGAATTATTAAAGACAACCCTTTAATAAAGTGAATTATTAAAGACACCCTACTACATTAAACTCACAATTAAGGACATAATCGGCTAGAAACAGAGAGCTTGTGGGCATCAATTCTCGAACCTAAAATTTTGTGAGACAAGTCAAGGGCGTCACATATGTTTGAGTCGCGGAAAATCTGACTCTCTCCAGATCCGTAATAGCTAAAGCCTCGTATACTAAATCGTGCCGGCTTGCTTATGCAAGAGAGAGAGAGAATGTATGTCACTAGGCCACGTTCACTCTACCTGAATCTCCCTAGCGCTCTCTCAATACACCCACCAGAGGCTCCAAATTCGGGTTATCTGGTTGTGACTGATGAAGAATCAGAAGAAGATACTTTTTGCTGGGGTTTATGTAAGAACAGGAAGGTTGAAAAGTTACCATTTCCTCAAGACAAGATCTTGAAGGTTGTACACCCACCAGAGTATGAAGAGATTAGTGTTACCAAGGTTTGGTTCATCCCAGTTCTTGATCAGCCACTGTCATCCAACCGCTACTACATCATCAAAGCAAAAGGCAAATACAAAGGGTACATTTTATTATATTCTCATTATTCAATGTCTGAATATCCATACCTCTCTGTCTTTTACCATAGGTTAGCATACCTGATTATAGTACAAATTCGGATTTGATTCCTAGTTGGCAATCAATATCTTGTAGAATTTATAATCGAACCGAGTTATTCGAGTTTGTGTCAGGTTCGTTTCGTTTTGGACTTGTTTAGGCTCAAAAACAAGTCAAATTTGTCCAATTTTGTAGCTTGTTTAATAAATGGGCTTGATAAGCTTTGCTTGAACTTGACCTATTTATGTGAAAATATTCAGACTTGTTTAATTTTTTAGCTCGTTTAAAAAACGGACTTGACAGGCTCGGCTTGAACTCGACAAACTTGACTCATTTATGTGTAAATATTCATATTAGGCTCGTTCAGGTTCGGCTCATTTTTCAAACGATTCTAACGTGAATAATTTTTTAGATTCGTTTAAATAAATAAAATCGATAGACTCAGCTCGAACTCGTTCAATTATCAACCCTAATAGCTAGGAGTGATTGTGATTTTGCTGAAAATCCAACTGAAAGTTCTAATTTTGTTCTCCCAATTTAAGAGAGAATTTGTCAGAAGTGTTGCCTAAATTTTTTTGGTCCCAGTTGAGCTCTTTAGGGTGAAGGAGATGTGAATAGGTTTGTCCATGACTCAGATTGGGCCGTGGGGACCCGCAAATTGGTCCAACTAGCCCAAGCAGCCGTGGCAAGGGCTGTGGTGTTGCCTTCAGCTCACAGGCCAGGCTGCTTACCCGGCCCGTAAACACACCCAATAACCCTGCCCAATAATTAACCCTTTTGTTTATGAAGTATAATAAGTTATAAGCTATAGATTAAAAAACCATGCTTTATAAGTTACAAATTTTTAAAGTACATTTTTACTGTTTTCTATTTTCAAAAGTTATAAATACTACTGTGTTACTACTTTTAACAGTAACGGGCTATGGGCTGAGTTATGGCGCATGACCCCCCAACTTGATATCAGCAGATCCTGCCAGATTTCATGGTGGGCCTGGCCCAACATTTAAAATGTCGTTAAAATTTCTTTCATTCCACTTGCAAGTCTCCATCTTAATCACATAATTCTTCAAAATAGTTGACTCTCTAGCACTATGAGTGTGAATTTGCGCTTTGCCACAAAATGTATGAATTCGCACTCTCGTTTTATAAAATTCGTAAATACAATTTTTCAATTTGCGAATTCGCATTCTTACTTATTTATATGCTTACTCATTATTACTTAAATTTTAATTTAAGAAGTACCTACTTATGCCTAAAAATACATATCAAACTAGATTGATATTTATAAACTATATTTGCCATTTTAGAACCTTATAATCAATACATATTTGAAAATTATATAATTTTTCACATACTTGTGCATACAATTTAATTTTTTATATTTAAATTTATCAATTTTTATGGGTGAATGTGCATCTATGCGCATATAATATATTGCTCTCATTTTATCACTTTTATGCTTTCACTCTCCCGCCCGTTCTCGCTTTATGTGATCTAGGTCTTGATAAGTTAGAAATTTTGTTAACTTAATATATTGTAAAAAAGGAAGGCTATTGGAGCATAATTTGAGGATTTACAATAAGATTACTAATGAATCTCAGATTTGCATGAAGTTTACTATATTTGTCTAGTGGTCACGATGCATTAAATTCTCAAATTATATACCGTTAGAATAGTGATCGTAAACACTGAAATAGAATAGTCCCTACAATGATTTAGTTTCTTGTAATGTATGTTCAATTGCTAATCTCACAGTGTGGTTAGGGGTACGAAGGTTGCAATTCTGACCTTGTTACAACTCCTGTACTGTATGTAGGCATGCAGCTACATGTTCAGGACGAAGAGAGATAAGCACATGTTGCTTTCAAGATGTTATAGTTGATGTAAATCCAAGGCCTTTCAATCACACTGATATATACCAACAGTTTGAGATTCATCGCCATTACAATGGTGGTTTCTATGCCACATCTGTAGCCCATGATGGGTTTCCTCCTAAATTCCTGAGAAGAAAAGGATGGGAAGTTCACACCAGTACCACTTCATTCAAACTTCATCTACCAGAAGCTCAAGGCCACGACACCACTCACCCAATGGACCTCCCGGAACTAGATGTTACGCTATCACAGAATCGTTTGTCTCGGGTTGTCGTTGGAAAATGGTACTGCCCCTTTGTGTTTGTGAAGGAGGAAGGTAGATTAGTGAACCAGATGCAAAAAACCTTGTTCTATGGATTGACTCTCGAGCATTGGTGGGAAGAGGTATATTCGTGCCAGAACGTGAGTAACGAAGGTAACGTTGTCGTTGTAAATGCTAGTGTGCAAAGGGAAGTGGCTCTAGTCCATGGCAGGGAAGCTTTGAAAGATGATAGGCATGGTGGAGATGGGTTTATTTGGTTTAGAGTGAGAGAAAGATGTAGGAGGAGAGGTCTAGGTGTGGCTTTGAGTAAGGCAATAGTTGAGAAAATTAGATGGGTGCAAGAGAGAGGAGGGTGGGTTGATGGAGGAGAGAAAGAGGTCATAATAGAGAGTGTAGAAGAGATTAGAGGGGAGAGAGAGTGGAGGTATTTTGGTTGTTATGTTTTGGTGCAAAGTTTTGGGGTGAGAAGAATGGATGGGAGTTTGTTGATGAGGTTGAATTTTAGACACACCAATAAAGTTCAATGCAAATGGGAATGAGGTTTTTGTAGTAATTTGCAAGTTTGTGCTCAAAAAAGTTCTTATGTTGACCGTGTGCTGTAAGTCTCTCCCCTACATTACAGAAAGAAATGTTTAACGGTCTTGATGTTATCTTGTCAAAAATTATGGGATGTCACTGCAATTCTCCCAAAATAAAAAGGAAGGGACACCCAATCTGTTTTTGTCCTCCCAAAAAGGTGTACCAAAGCCTAAATGATGTGACATTTATTTCATACAGTCATCATATAACTCCTTACAAAAATGTGTACCAAGCCTAAATGATGTGACATTTATTTCATATAAGTCTTCATAGATTAAATTTAAAGGCTTATAAATTTAAATTTAAAATATGAGAAAATCAAATTTTAAAAAGTGTTAAATATGAGTATTGAATTTTTAAAGAATAATAAAATTTGATCATTCAAAATTTAAGTAAAAAAGAAAAAATTAACTCTAAGGAATGTACTTCCTTCAAAATCAATCTCAATCCCTTTCGGAGGTAATTCTCATTGTATGCACGGGCCTCTCAACACCTGAGGATTCGCACAATTGACAGGGAATTGAATCCACACCTAAGTTTTAGACACGATTTTTCTAATCAATGAAAATTCGTCTTACTAACCAAATTGTGCTGACGCCTAGGAGACTGGTTCCCAAGAGGTTGTTAAGTTTTAAACTTAGAATGTTTGAATTTACAGCTCGTCTTTATCTCCACTTGAGCTACCTCTTGGGATTTAGTAAAAATATGAGTTTCTTTGATTTGAATAAAAAATCAAGTATCCCTTTATTTGGTATAAATTTAAATAAAAGATTAGAACTTATTTTTAGCATAATTTTATTCAAATTTAAGTTTGAGCAGTGATTTGAGTAAGTATTAGATTATCATATAGACCTAGTGGTTGTGCTTTTTTTTCCCTCTCTAGGTAAATAAACAAATTATATTCATAAATTTGCATGAGTTACAAGCAATTGGAGCCACTTAATTATCAATAGCCACCAGCATCAAGCAATAGCTGCAACTAGGAGTCAAAATAAACAACAAAAGAACAAACCATTCTGTTGAGAGTGCTAGTTGTTGGACTTGTACTCCTCACACTTCTTATTGCATTAAATATTTCCATGTCTAATAATAAAAAATCCATTTTCGACCAAAAACTATTATAGTTATTACATTTTTAAAGTTGAACATGATTTTTTTAGAGAATATATCATGGGTTGTGTTAAAGTAGTTCAACATTTTTGTAATGAAAAATTATTCCAACCACACGATTGTTGGACCATAATTACGAGATAAATCTCAAATATGAATAACATTAATTGATTAAAAGTTAGATTTTGTGTGATGAGAGAAACTTGATACGTATAATTTTATAGCGCAACCATTACTCGAGCACCAAATTAACACATAAGGGCACATTTAGATGACAATAATCTTAATTGAAAATAATTATCTCATTTATAATAATGAGATACTTGGGTTTCAATTATTATAATAATATCATATTTATTATTTAGTTATTGTCAGAAATCTAGTGTGTGAATTAATATCATTACCAAATTATTTTAGGAAATAATTTAATTTTAAAAAGAAGATTGATTTTAGAAAGAGAATTTAATTTTTGAAATAAAGTTANATTAAATTTAAAGGCTTATAAATTTAAATTTAAAATATGAGAAAATCAAATTTTAAAAAGTGTTAAATATGAGTATTGAATTTTTAAAGAATAATAAAATTTGACCATTCAAAATTTAAGTAAAAAAGAAAAAATTAACTCTAAGGAATGTACCTCCTTCAAAATCAATCTCAATCCCTTTCGGAGGTAATTCTCATTCCGAGAAAGTGTTGCATGCACGGGCCTCTCAACACCTGAGGATTCGCACAATTGACAGGGAATTGAATCCACACCTAAGTTTTAGATATGATTTTTCTAATCAATGAAAATTCGTCTTACTAACCAAATTGTGCTGACGCCTAGGAGACTGGTTCCCAAGAGGTTGTTAAGTTTTAAACTTAGAATGTTTGAATTTATAGCTCGTCTTTATCTCCACTTGAGCTACCTCTTGGGATTTAGTAAAAATATGAGTTTCTTTGATTTGAATAAAAAATCAAGTATCCCTTTATTTGGTACAAATTTAAATAAAAGATTAGAACTTATTTTTAGCATAATTTTATTCAAATTTAAGTTTGAGCAGTGATTTGAGTAAGTATTAGATTATCATATAGACCTAGTGGTTGTGCTTTTTTTTCCCTCTCTAGGTAAATAAACAAATTATATTCATAAATTTGCATGAGTTACAAGCAATTGGAGCCACTTAATTATCAATAGCCACCAGCATCAAGCAATAGCTGCAACTAGGAGTCAAAATAAACAACAAAAGAACAAACCATTCTGTTGAGAGTGCTAGTTGTTGGACTTGTACTCCTCACACTTCTTATTGCATTAAATATTTCCATGTCTAATAATAAAAAAATCATTTTCGACCAAAAACTATTATAGTTATTACATTTTTAAAGTTGAACATGATTTTTTTCGAGAATATATCATGGGTTGTGTTAAAGTAGTTCAACATTTTTGTAATGAAAAATTATTCCAACCACACGATTGTTGGACCATAATTACGAGATAAATCTCAAATATGAATAACATTAATTGATTAAAAGTTAGATTTTGTGTGATGAGAGAAACTTGGTACGTATAATTTTATAGCGCAACCATTACTCGAGCACCAAATTAACACATAAGGGCACATTTAGATGACAATAATCTTAATTGAAAATAATTATCTCATTTATAATAATGAGATACTTGGGTTTCAATTATTATAATAATATCATATTTATTATTTAGTTATTGTCAGAAATCTAGTGTGTGAATTAATATCATTACCAAATTATTTTAGGAAATAATTTAATTTTAAAAAGAAGATTGATTTTAGAAAGAGAATTTAATTTTTGAAATAAAGTTAATTTTAAGAAAGAACTTTATTTTGAGATTTTTATTTTTTTTATAAAACACCTAATCAATGTAGGTATAAGATTACTACAATGACCACCGGTTTGAGATACCCAACATTATTGAGAATTGGATTATAATAATAGTCTTATTCCCGAGTTAGATTACTAAATAATTAACTCTCTAAAATAATAATTTAGGATTTTAAAATGAGAATCTCTTTCTTAATCAAAATTATAACCATCCAAACAAGACGTAACAATTATTTTGCTGATAAATATTTCATTAAAAGAAGACTACTAAATCACAAGGATCTGGTCAAGTGTATTAGTTGCAGGTAAGTGGACCCTAGGTAGTCTTTTCAGCATGGACCCCACTATATTGCGGTATAAGATATTGGAATATACCTAGGGTACCAATTATTTTTTTATAGTGATTAAAATGTTAGTCATTGTCAAAATATTTAGTATAATTAAAGTCCTTATTAAGATTAAATTGTTTATTATGATGCCAATGTTTCGTGTGGCTAAAAGGTTAAATATACAAAAAAATTATTATCATTAAAAAGATTAAACTATAAATCACAAAATAAGTCTTGGATCGGATACACATGATTTGAACTATGGTTGTATTTCATGTAAGAATGATATTGTGGTTTATTATATAGAATCATAGATTATTTTTAGCATGCGTAGGATTATTTTATTTTATTATTTTGCTGAATTTTATATATTTTTATTAATGAACACTAATAATCCAAAGCAATTAATACTAATTGATATTTGGCATTGCTGATCTTTCACAAAGATTCGAACATCTGGATTGGCATAATGTAAGCCTGGATGGGACTGGCCGTACAATCCGGACAAAAGACTAGGAAGGGAAAGTGGGTAACAACGAAGAGATTCGAGATTTCTCTTCAGGAAAATATTCTGCGTTTGTTTGTATACCTCTAAGTGCATGCCAGAGATAGAGAGAGAGAGACCAAGCAGCAATTAATGATACAGGTTAGCAGTCTCCAACCAATCCAAACTTCACATAAAACTATCATCATCTCTAAATAAAACCTCCATTTTCCAGCTCTAATGAAGTAGAGAGAGAGAGAGAGAGAGATGTATACAACAAGGGGTCTGTCAAAATGCCTGAATTCTCCCAACATTCTCTCAGCACAACCAGGATGTACTTTCTCAGGATCTTTGATGTTTACAGATGAAGAATCACAGTCGTCAAAAGATTCCTTTTGTTTGGGAACAGTTAACAAGTGCAAGAAAGTGGAAAAATTACCGTTTCCTCAGGACAGGATAATGGCTGTCCATCCACTCAAGGGTCCCAAAACATCATTTATCAAGGTGTTGCTCATCCCAGTTCTTGATCACCCTTTGTCTTCCAACCAATACTATGTTATCAAAGCAGAAGGTGAAAAGAAAGGGTGAGTTCTCTTTATAATTTATACTAACAGTTCGTTCGATGCGATGTACAGGATTATAAATAGTCTCTGTTTTTTTTTTATCTATCCCTTGCTTCTTTTGTTTGATCACTTGAGAGGTTAAATAAATAATTGTAGATTATTTATAGATTTTCACTAGTTATGATTCACTAGCAATACTCTTGGGTTTGAGTTCTTTTGTCATATAAAATTTCAATGTTCAATGCATGATTACGAGTGATTATAGTTTTACGAGCTTAATCCATAAATTTAAAAAATGTGTGATCAGAATAATTCATGCAAAAAAGACTCGTTAGTTTTGGAAGATAGATATAACAGATTAATTTCAGTGTATTTGAAATAATAATGGCATACTAAAGCCAGCTTGGCCATTCATGGACAAGGTGGCTATGCATCTATTATGCAATGGTCCAAGTACTTAATTTTTCCTATTTTTTTTTAATTGATGGAACACTTTCATATGTACCAGAACGACTCACCAATGTGTTATGGACATTAAATTAGTATGTATGGATTTCGCATAATTATATTCTGGTTATAAATGGATTGACGAACTTGTTGGTACAAAACAAGTTACACAATTTAAAAACGCGACACTAACATTGACAATCCTACAAGACACCTTGATGATCCCTTTCTGAGAACACACCCCTTATTCAGAAATTAGGGCACTATTTTATTAAGTACCTTAGAGGGAGTTGTCTCGTACAGAAAGAAATTAAAAATAGTGTTTTATGTGTGTGTAGCTTTAAAGAAAACATATGTTGAATATTTCTGTTGTAATATTTATTGCAGGGAAGCATACAAATGCAGAAGAGAAGAGGACTTGGTCCAGGTGAATAAATGCTTCTTTGGCACTGTCACAAAGGACACGCCATCATATCCTTTTGATCATCGAGACCCTTATCAACGAGTTGTGATTCATCGTAACAGAGGTGGCCATGGCTTCATTGCCAAATCATTAGCTCCAGATGGTTCTCCTCCACATTTCTTACTAGAAAAAGGATGGGAAGTCTATGATTTAGGATCAAACAACTCTCAACTGAGTCTAACCCAAGGACTTGATGCCACACTCCGCAACACCTCTCCGGAATTCAATCTTCTCCTCTCCAATAAACGTTCCGACGCCGTTGTCGTCGGAAAATGGTACTGCCCATTCCCATTTGTGAAGGAAGAATTTGAACCCAAAAAGAAGATGAAGAACACTTTGTTTTACACAATGACACTTGAGCAAAAGTGGGAAGAGATTTATTCAGAAGATCAAAAGCACAGAACCAGTGTTGTGACTGTCAATGGGGTTGAAGCTGTGAGAGATGATAGTTTTGGTGGTGATGGGTTCATTTGGTTTCGGGTTAGTGACCCAAAGAAGAGTGGAGGAGGGGGTGTGGGTTTGAGCTTAGCAATATATGAAAGAATGATATCAGTGGTAGAGGGAGGAGGGTGGGTTGATGGAGGAGGAGAGAGAGAGGAGAGAAAAGAGGGAAATAACAGTGAGAAAGGGTTTAATTTGTTTGGCTGTTATGTGTTGGTTGAGAGCTTTGTTTTGAGGAAGATTGATGGAAGTGTGTTGCTACAATGTGATTTGAGGTATTCCCAGGTGATTGATCAGTCACTGGGAATGTGTACATTATAATTAAATTCCATTAGGATTGAGATTTTGTAATGATGGTCATAAACCTATTTGTTATTTAATGCATGAAATTATGAATGGATGGAAATTTTCATTTGAAATTTTATAGTGAAGGTCGTGTATTTCACTTTCATTCCTATTGATATCAGCCTCTGCATTTCAATTAATAAATCTCATAAGTCTTAGTTCATGGAACATAGGGTTGGGCAATAGGAAATGGGAAATGCTATTTGGGCCTTATTTAAGGACCTAATAATATACAATTAATGAATTGATTGTGGATTCTATCTAATAATAAAACTTACGACTAATTCAATGGTTAAATTGAAGTCATATTATTACGTCCCTAAATAAAGTCCATGTAACATTGCTCGTAGGAAACTAGAGGTTTTATTAAAATTTAACTCAATAATTAGGAGGTTAGCAGTTAATTTAATAGTCACCTTCTTCATTATTAGATTTTAAGAATGCGGGTTTAAACTTCGTCGTCTCCGTCTCCTGTAATAATGTATAATAAAAAAAATTAATAATTAGAAAGAAAAAAAGTTCAATTTTTTTTTACAAATATGACCAAATTAGAAACTTTTTGGAATTTCCATCGTTTGTAGAGGATTTTTGCTGCTCATCACTTTATCTGTGAACGTATGCATTCCAATCGGATAATATAATCTTGTCTTTGCTGCTTCGTTTTTACTATTGGATCAAAAAGAGGGGGGGAAAAAGAGAGGAAACTATCCTGGCACATCTAAGTGCATCNGGATAATATAATCTTGTCTTTGCTGCTTCGTTTTTACTATTGGATCAAAAAGAGGGGGGGAAAAAGAGAGGAAACTATCCTGGCACATCTAAGTGCATCCAAAGAATTGAAGGGAAAAACTGAAAAGATCAGACCTAATTTGTAACGGTGGGAGAACATATAATTATAAAGATTAAATATGTTAAAGTTATACTTAAAATATAATAGTAAAAACAAAAAATACATAAAAGATTTAAAAAAGAAATCATTTAAAGTAGGGTAAATTACATCAAGATTCCTTTGAGGNATATATTGCTCTCATTTTATCACTTTTATGCTTTCACTCTCCCGCCCGTTCTCGCTTTATGTGATCTAGGTCTTAATAAGTTAGAAATTTTGTTAACTTAATATATTGTAAAAAAGGAAGGCTATTGGAGCATAATTTAAGGATTTACAATAAGATTACTAATGAATCTCAGATTTGCATGAAGTCTACTATATCCGTCTAGTGGTCACGATGCATTAAATTCTCAAATTATATACCGTTAGAATAGTGATCGTAAACACTGAAATAGAATAGTCCCCACAATGATTTAGTTTCTTGTAATGTATGTTCAATTGCTAATCTCACAGTGTGGTTAGGGGTACGAAGGTTGCAATTCTGACCTTGTTACAACTCCTGTACTGTATGTAGGCATGCAGCTACATGTTCAGGACGAAGAGAGATAAGCACATGTTGCTTTCAAGATGTTATAGTTGATGTAAATCCAAGGCCTTTCAATCACACTGATATATACCAACAGTTTGAGATTCATCGCCATTACAATGGTGGTTTCTATGCCACATCTGTAGCCCATGATGGGTTTCCTCCTAAATTCCTGAGAAGAAAAGGATGGGAAGTTCACACCAGTACCACTTCATTCAAACTTCATCTACCAGAAGCTCAAGGCCACGACACCACCCACCCAATGGACCTCCCGGAACTAGATGTTACGCTATCACAGAATCGTTTGTCTCGGGTTGTCGTTGGAAAATGGTACTGCCCCTTTGTGTTTGTGAAGGAGGAAGGTAGATTAGTGAACCAGATGCAAAAAACCTTGTTCTATGGATTGACTCTCGAGCATTGGTGGGAAGAGGTATATTCGTGCCAGAACGTGAGTAACGAAGGTAACGTTGTCGTTGTAAATGCTAGTGTGCAAAGGGAAGTGGCTCTAGTCCATGGCAGGGAAGCTTTGAAAGATGATAGGCATGGTGGAGATGGGTTTATTTGGTTTAGAGTGAGAGAAAGATGTAGGAGGAGAGGTCTAGGTGTGGCTTTGAGTAAGGCAATAGTTGAGAAAATTAGATGGGTGCAAGAGAGAGGAGGGTGGGTTGATGGAGGAGAGAAAGAGGTCATAATAGAGAGTGTAGAAGAGATTAGAGGGGAGAGAGAGTGGAGGTATTTTGGTTGTTATGTTTTGGTGCAAAGTTTTGGGGTGAGAAGAATGGATGGGAGTTTGTTGATGAGGTTGAATTTTAGACACACCAATAAAGTTCAATGCAAATGGGAATGAGGTTTTTGTAGTAATTTGCAAGTTTGTGCTCAAAAAGGTTCTTATGTTGACCGTGTGCTGTAAGTCTCTCCCCTACATTACAGAAAGAAATGTTTAACGGTCTTGATGTTATCTTGTCAAAAATTATGGGATGTCACTGCAATTCTCCCAAAATAAAAAGGAAGGGACACCCAATCTGTTTTTGTCCTCCCAAAAAGGTGTACCAAAGCCTAAATGATGTGACATTTATTTCATACAGTCATCATATAACTCCTTACAAAAATGTGTACCAAGCCTAAATGATGTGACATTTATTTCATATAAGTCTTCATAGATTAAATTTAAAGGCTTATAAATTTAAATTTAAAATATGAGAAAATCAAATTTTAAAAAGTGTTAAATATGAGTATTGAATTTTTAAAGAATAATAAAATTTGATCATTCAAAATTTAAGTAAAAAAGAAAAAATTAACTCTAAGGAATGTACTTCCTTCAAAATCAATCTCAATCCCTTTCGGAGGTAATTCTCATTGTATGCACGGGCCTCTCAACACCTGAGGATTCGCACAATTGACAGGGAATTGAATCCACACCTAAGTTTTAGACACGATTTTTCTAATCAATGAAAATTCGTCTTACTAACCAAATTGTGCTGACGCCTAGGAGACTGGTTCCCAAGAGGTTGTTAAGTTTTAAACTTAGAATGTTTGAATTTACAGCTCGTCTTTATCTCCACTTGAGCTACCTCTTGGGATTTAGTAAAAATATGAGTTTCTTTGATTTGAATAAAAAATCAAGTATCCCTTTATTTGGTACAAATTTAAATAAAAGATTAGAACTTATTTTTAGCATAATTTTATTCAAATTTAAGTTTGAGCAGTGATTTGAGTAAGTATTAGATTATCATATAGACCTAGTGGTTGTGCTTTTTTTTCCCTCTCTAGGTAAATAAACAAATTATATTCATAAATTTGCATGAGTTACAAGCAATTGGAGCCACTTAATTATCAATAGCCACCAGCATCAAGCAATAGCTGCAACTAGGAGTCAAAATAAACAACAAAAGAACAAACCATTCTGTTGAGAGTGCTAGTTGTTGGACTTGTACTCCTCACACTTCTTATTGCATTAAATATTTCCATGTCTAATAATAAAAAATCCATTTTCGACCAAAAACTATTATAGTTATTACATTTTTAAAGTTGAACATGATTTTTTTAGAGAATATATCATGGGTTGTGTTAAAGTAGTTCAACATTTTTGTAATGAAAAATTATTCCAACCACACGATTGTTGGACCATAATTACGAGATAAATCTCAAATATGAATAACATTAATTGATTAAAAGTTAGATTTTGTGTGATGAGAGAAACTTGATACGTATAATTTTATAGCGCAACCATTACTCGAGCACCAAATTAACACATAAGGGCACATTTAGATGACAATAATCTTAATTGAAAATAATTATCTCATTTATAATAATGAGATACTTGGGTTTCAATTATTATAATAATATCATATTTATTATTTAGTTATTGTCAGAAATCTAGTGTGTGAATTAATATCATTACCAAATTATTTTAGGAAATAATTTAATTTTAAAAAGAAGATTGATTTTAGAAAGAGAATTTAATTTTTGAAATAAAGTTAATTTTAAGAAAGAACTTTATTTTGAGATTTTTATTTTTTTTATAAAACACCTAATCAATGTAGGTATAAGATTACTACAATGACCACCGGTTTGAGATACCCAACATTATTGAGAATTGGATTATAATAATAGTCTTATTCCCGAGTTAGATTACTAAATAATTAACTCTCTAAAATAATAATTTAGGATTTTAAAATGAGAATCTCTTTCTTAATCAAAATTATAACCATCCAAACAAGACGTAACAATTATTTTGCTGATAAATATTTCATTAAAAGAAGACTACTAAATCACAAGGATCTGGTCAAGTGTATTAGTTGCAGGTAAGTGGACCCTAGGTAGTCTTTTCAGCATGGACCCCACTATATTGCGGTATAAGATATTGGAATATACCTAGGGTACCAATTATTTTTTTATAGTGATTAAAATGTTAGTCATTGTCAAAATATTTAGTATAATTAAAGTACTTATTAAGATTAAATTGTTTATTATGATGCCAATGTTTCGTGTGGCTAAAAGGTTAAATATACNTGTGTTTGTGAAGGAGGAAGGTAGATTAGTGAACCAGATGCAAAAAACCTTGTTCTATGGATTGACTCTCGAGCATTGGTGGGAAGAGGTATATTCGTGCCAGAACGTGAGTAACGAAGGTAACGTTGTCGTTGTAAATGCTAGTGTGCAAAGGGAAGTGGCTCTAGTCCATGGCAGGGAAGCTTTGAAAGATGATAGGCATGGTGGAGATGGGTTTATTTGGTTTAGAGTGAGAGAAAGATGTAGGAGGAGAGGTCTAGGTGTGGCTTTGAGTAAGGCAATAGTTGAGAAAATTAGATGGGTGCAAGAGAGAGGAGGGTGGGTTGATGGAGGAGAGAAAGAGGTCATAATAGAGAGTGTAGAAGAGATTAGAGGGGAGAGAGAGTGGAGGTATTTTGGTTGTTATGTTTTGGTGCAAAGTTTTGGGGTGAGAAGAATGGATGGGAGTTTGTTGATGAGGTTGAATTTTAGACACACCAATAAAGTTCAATGCAAATGGGAATGAGGTTTTTGTAGTAATTTGCAAGTTTGTGCTCAAAAAGGTTCTTATGTTGACCGTGTGCTGTAAGTCTCTCCCCTACATTACAGAAAGAAATGTTTAACGGTCTTGATGTTATCTTGTCAAAAATTATGGGATGTCACTGCAATTCTCCCAAAATAAAAAGGAAGGGACACCCAATCTGTTTTTGTCCTCCCAAAAAGGTGTACCAAAGCCTAAATGATGTGACATTTATTTCATACAGTCATCATATAACTCCTTACAAAAATGTGTACCAAGCCTAAATGATGTGACATTTATTTCATATAAGTCTTCATAGATTAAATTTAAAGGCTTATAAATTTAAATTTAAAATATGAGAAAATCAAATTTTAAAAAGTGTTAAATATGAGTATTGAATTTTTAAAGAATAATAAAATTTGATCATTCAAAATTTAAGTAAAAAAGAAAAAATTAACTCTAAGGAATGTACTTCCTTCAAAATCAATCTCAATCCCTTTCGGAGGTAATTCTCATTGTATGCACGGGCCTCTCAACACCTGAGGATTCGCACAATTGACAGGGAATTGAATCCACACCTAAGTTTTAGACACGATTTTTCTAATCAATGAAAATTCGTCTTACTAACCAAATTGTGCTGACGCCTAGGAGACTGGTTCCCAAGAGGTTGTTAAGTTTTAAACTTAGAATGTTTGAATTTACAGCTCGTCTTTATCTCCACTTGAGCTACCTCTTGGGATTTAGTAAAAATATGAGTTTCTTTGATTTGAATAAAAAATCAAGTATCCCTTTATTTGGTATAAATTTAAATAAAAGATTAGAACTTATTTTTAGCATAATTTTATTCAAATTTAAGTTTGAGCAGTGATTTGAGTAAGTATTAGATTATCATATAGACCTAGTGGTTGTGCTTTTTTTTCCCTCTCTAGGTAAATAAACAAATTATATTCATAAATTTGCATGAGTTACAAGCAATTGGAGCCACTTAATTATCAATAGCCACCAGCATCAAGCAATAGCTGCAACTAGGAGTCAAAATAAACAACAAAAGAACAAACCATTCTGTTGAGAGTGCTAGTTGTTGGACTTGTACTCCTCACACTTCTTATTGCATTAAATATTTCCATGTCTAATAATAAAAAAATCATTTTCGACCAAAAACTATTATAGTTATTACATTTTTAAAGTTGAACATGATTTTTTTCNGAAGAGATTTATTCAGAAGATCAAAAGCACAGAACCAGTGTTGTGACTGTCAATGGGGTTGAAGCTGTGAGAGATGATAGTTTTGGTGGTGATGGGTTCATTTGGTTTCGGGTTAGTGACCCAAAGAAGAGTGGAGGAGGGGGTGTGGGTTTGAGCTTAGCAATATATGAAAGAATGATATCAGTGGTAGAGGGAGGAGGGTGGGTTGATGGAGGAGGAGAGAGAGAGGAGAGAAAAGAGGGAAATAACAGTGAGAAAGGGTTTAATTTGTTTGGCTGTTATGTGTTGGTTGAGAGCTTTGTTTTGAGGAAGATTGATGGAAGTGTGTTGCTACAATGTGATTTGAGGTACTCCCAGGTGATTGATCAGTCACTGGGAATGTGTACATTATAATTAAATTCCATTGGGATTGAGATTTTGTAATGATGGTCATAAACCTATTTGTTATGTAATGCATGAAATTATGAATGGATGGAAATTTTCATTTGAAATTTTATAGTGAAGGTCGTGTATTTCACTTTCATTCCTATTGATATCAGCCTCTGCATTTCAATTAATAAATCTCATAAGTCTTAGTTCATGGAACATAGGGTTGGGCAATAGGAAATGGGAAATGCTATTTGGGCCTTATTTAAGGACCTAATAATATACAATTAATGAATTAATTGTGGATTCTATCTAATAATAAAACTTACGACTAATTCAATGGTTAAATTGAAGTCATATTATTACGTCCCTAAATAAAGTCCATGTAACATTGCTCGTAGGAAACTAGAGGTTTTATTAAAATTTAACTCAATAATTAGGAGGTTAGCAGTTAGTTTAATAGTCACCGTCTTCATTATTAGATTTTAAGAACGCGGGTTTAAACTTCGTCGTCTCCGTCTCCTGTAATAATGTATAATAAAAAAAACCAATAATTAGAAAGAAAAAAAAGTTCAATTTTTTTTTCCAAATATGACCAAATTAGAAACTTTTTGGAATTTCCATCGTTTGTAGAGGATTTTTGCTGCTCATCACTTTATCTGTGAACGTATGCATTCCAATCGAATAATATAATCTTGTCTTTGCTGCTTCGTTTTTTCTATTGGATCAAAAAGAGGGGGAAAAAAAGAGAGGAAACTATCCTG